CGACCTGCCACCGGCCGCCTCCGGTGCGAGGCGAGGCGAGTCGGGCGGAGGGTTGGCCTGCCTCCGGACGCCTCCGGTGCGAGGCGAGGCCAGTTGGGCGCGGGGTGGCCTGCCGCCGGTGAGGCAAAGCCGTCGGGGAGATGCAGGTAGGCGTGCGTGTGCGAGAGGATGCGGGCGACCCTTTTTTTTCACGGGAACCGTTATTTTACTTAGGGATGTGACTGCGGGTTAATTCCTAAGAAGCACAGGGATCTTTATGCAAAAACACCGCGACGGTGAACCCGGAGACCCAATCCATGCTTTATTATTACTAGCACACATGCCCGTGCGTTGCAACGGGAGAAAAAAAATCCAAATGCCCCCAATAAACATCAAAACATGTTCAAGACCCCACAGATCCACGCCCGTTCTTTGAAAGTGGGAACATGAGTGAAACGGGGTGGATAGGGGATAGAAGATCAACAAGTAGAAAAACATTCCTTGTTTTACTATCATTCCTAACAAAATGATCTATAGATAAAATTGTACAGTATTCTAAATAAGTGTATAGCTACAAAGAAAATGATCATATATAGTAGAATGTGAACATTATCTAGCCAACCATTTTGTAATGATATGTTCACAAACTTTAGTTGTATTATTATTATTACTGGCTCGTGTATCATTCTCTCCCATAGAAATCATACAACAAAAAGCTTGAGAACGCAAATGACCAACATACACTGAATCAGTTCTCATACACACACTCTATAATATAAACTCAGACCATATACTTTGTAATGAAGCTATCTATAACATTGTAATGGGATGAAAATTAGCTAGCTAGTATCGTATGTCTGCAAACTTGTCATCTTAATTATGCAAAAACAAAAAATCTGAAGCTAGCGGAGCATAAATGGTTTGGTGCCCCTTGGGTTGTTTTCTTGTCCTAACATAACATGGAGGATGTACCAAGGGTTCAACATTGAGCTTTGATTTACCTCCATTATCCCCGTGATACTGGTGTTTGTGATGAACTAAATAGACAATTTGTTGTGCTGGGATGATTCATGATGGATAGATAAGATGATCTTCGCAACAACTACCATCATGCATGAGCCATGGGTAACATCCAAAATTTCCCAAAGCAGCCATGTTTTTATGTCTATTCTGTTGCTTATTTCCCTCTGAAAATTGACAAACATCCACACTTCTAGTCTTATATCCCTATGAAAATCTATTTAACATACACAAATCTGCTTTTGGAGTAATAAATTATAACCCATAAATAAGAAAAAATTAACTTAATTAGTTTTACCAATCTACATAACAAAATTTGATTTATCCATTACCGATTAACTGTAACAACACAGAAAATCAAGTCGCACACTCACACCTCAAATCTTGAGGCATACGCAGTCTGTTGAAGCCTCAAACATAGAACCATGTCATGTGAACTTCCAATAGAAAATTAGGACTCCATTTGCCTGTTTGATCCTTGCCAGTTTATTAGTTCCGTATCTGTCAATTCCATGATCTTCCGCAATGCTTCCAACCACTTCATAACTCCTGTCGGTCCCTCGAGGTGGAAATTTTCACGCTGAGATGCAACAGAATTTATATCATGCATTAAGTCATGCAAAAATACCAACCTAACGTATGCCAGTATGGTTTGACATAGATACAAATTACCATCCTTCTCAGTAGCATCTCAAAACACCAAAAGGCATCTGGATCATCCTCGTATAGAACAACAAAAGAGGAAACCAGATCGCTCATACCTACACTCAACTTGTACCATTTAGACAGTTTAAATAATTAAAGCAAAATGATGCAATGCTCCATTGAAATGCAAACCTTGACAGTATCCAGGGGAGGGATCAACCCATGCATAAAATGGAAGTATATCTGACAAACCTTCAGCCGCCGCTTGAACCCCGCAGGTCGCCGCCCATGGAGCCGCTCGTCGCCAGCCCCTCCAGAATTGCCAGATCCAGCCGCCTCCGCTCCATTACCGGTGTCGGGCCTCGCGAGCTCCTCCCCTCGTCCTCCTACATCGACCCGAGCCGCCATGGACGGCCGCTGTGTCCGCGTTGACTGCGGGCGAACGCGCGCGTCCGACGCATATGGCCCTGCCTCCGCGCCTTCCCTCCTACTCCTCTCGTCCGCCATGTGCTCGCCGTCGTCGTCCTGCTCCCGATCAGATCGGGAGCGCCGCCGCTCGATCTGCAGCACAAAAAGAATATCAAACAGTTTTTTCTTAACTCAAATATAGTTCATGCGGGTTAATTTATTGTTTCATGTGCACATATTGATCAAATAAATTCCTCCAATCTAGTTAATTGTACTGCTGGATTTTGGTGGTCATTCTGAATGTACAGATTTGTTGTGAGAATCTGTGAACTAATATGGATCTGTTGACGAACTATAACTTAGCACTATATCTGGTTCTTGCTATCAGTTTTATTTTGGTCATCCAAGTGGATATATACACCAGTCATGTAGCCACAGTCTGCACTATTTGGTTAATGAGAACGGGAGGAGCACAACACTGACCCCATCGCTTATCTAAGCCAGCTTCAGGTCCACCATGGCCACCTACACCGAGCACCATATCACGTTCCCGAGCTTAGTTGTCGATTCATCTACACCAACCCAATCACCACAAACAGGGATACAATCAGATTTAATAAGAGATAGCTCCATGACCATGAGGAAAGCACGAACCGTGGGACCAGCCCATAGGCGGCCGCGCTGGAGCACATCCGGTCGTCCGCGTATCCAAGAGCTAATCGGGGCAAGGTGGTCGATGTTGGGCGACTGCAACGACGGCCATGTAACCGGGACGCGAGGAAGAAGGAATCGGTAGGCGGTGTGATGCCCTCGTCCTCCGGTGTGTAGTCCGATCTGTCCCCATCATCCCCGTCCCCTCCTCCGCCGCCTCCACCTCCCTCTCGTACTCCCACTGGCTCCTCTGCCGCCTCCACCTTCCTCTCCTCCTCCTCCCACCAGCTCCTTCGCTGTCTCCACCACCCTCTCCTCGTCCTACCACCTGTTGCTCGTGGCGGCGCGGAGTGTGCCGAGCAGCCCATCGCAGTCGGCGGCACGCGCTCGAGACGGCCGGCGCGATCCCGGAGCGCGGCGGCCTGGGCCTCGACGTCGGCAAGCTGCACGCGGAGGACTTGGAGACACGGGGAGGAGGGCGCGACGGACGATGCGGGCCGGCGGTGGGGAGGCGGCGGATCCAGATGGGGGTGCGAGGCGTGGTCGACTGACTCGGGGGTGGTTTTTTTTTGTCAAGTGTGTCCACGCGTGGGGCAGAATCCAAAACGTTTTTTCCACAGGTGGACTGCGGATAAATTATTAAAAATCAAAGGGAGGTTTTCAGAAAAACAGCACGACGGTGAACCCGGAGACCCAATCCGTGCTTTATTATTAAGGAGAGATTAGGGAGAGATTAGGGAGAGATATACATTTAACTTTGGCTAGGCACACAATTTTTGTTTGCAGATGGACTGTGTGCAGGTATAGGTAATATTGGTCAATAATTCCAAATACGCGCCATGAAGATGAAGTTTGATATTCCGAAATATGGCATGAAATGCCATACTACAAAACATTTTCATATGAAAATTTAAGATATAATGAACAAAAATAATCAGTTATTATCAAATGGTTGGCTTTTAGTTTGCATTTATATAGGTTTGAATGGCAAATCATTACTTGTTGTACTAGTAGAATGCCCATGCGTTGCTACGGGCTTTTTAGTGTTTTTTTTTGTCTGGTTGCATATCTATACTTTAAAACTTAGTGAATTTTTGTCCTCTCCCGACGACATTGTCTTGGGACCCTTGTTGATGGATTTTGGACGTCGACATAGTCCATCTCCATCACTATAGGAAACTGGAGATTTGTTGTCAGTACTGCTCTTTGCCGTCCCAGGGCAGACATTGGCTTTGCCGGCAAACCCTGCCGTCTGTATAACTGCCTTTGCCATCTGTACTTGCCACACGACAAACTGCCTGATTCCTATAGTGCATCTCTCATAATCTGGAAAAATAAAAATATATAGAAATACACCTTTTGTATTATCATGTGCAACATCTTTACAAAGAAGAATTATTTGTATGCATCTCTTCTAATTCTGTAAAATCAAGTTTTCAGTCCGGACTATCATACTTACGTCAATGACTTTGTCAATCAACCTTTTCAAAGCATCATTGGAAGTTATCGGTTTTTATCTAATATAAAAAGTTGAACATATAAACATATATTAGAATAAGAAAAAATAAACAAGGTCGTATGCGATATATATTAATTGACCAGCTGCTATATGCAAGCAAGTGACCATTTTTAGTCAGAGTGAGTGGCATCATGCTTTTTAGTAGTGGGTCACATCTCAATTTTAGTAACATGCACGCTCACCTATAAATCATTTTTGGTAATTATTCTCTAAAAATGACTTGTTAGGGTTTGTGATATTTTCCACTATATAAAAAATATGTGAGCAAACAAACACTTTTCGCTAAAGAAGCAAACAACCACCCCTTTTATTATTATCTTAGAAAAATTAATTCACCCTCTCATTCTCTCATCACACGATATATCCTCACACTCACATCTTACCCCCTGCTCTGCCCACGACATGTCATTTAGCCTGTACTCCCTCCGTAAACTAATATAAGAGTGTTTAGATTACTATTTTAGTGATCCAAACGCTCTTATATTAGTTTACAGAGGAAGTACCTTGCTCTAACCGTCTTGTCCCCTCCTCTCTGGTGTCTGTCACCCCTCCTATCCCCTCCACGGCATCTCATGGCAATTCTCGGTGACAAGGAATGCACACAATCATATATAGCTGAGGAAAATTTATTGTTTGATTAGCAAAAAATGATCAATGTTGCCATATACCCTAGCGCAGCAACCCATCACAAATCACACAGCATAAAATAACTAAAATCTGATGTAGAAATTTAACATGATACAAGATGAGAATTGAGAGAGATTAGTAGATGATGTATGTGATAACCTTGGCTAGTTCGATGGCTGTAGCCTGAAGAATTGGTGAGTGAAGTAGCCTGTGTCGCCGTATGAAGTACTCCCTCCGTTCCAAATTACTCATCGTGGTTTTAGTTCAAAGGGAGTAGATCTTAAGAAGGAAGACCCGAGGCAAGGATGCGACAAAGGCCGTTCTGCCGCTAATGGGGGGGGGGGGGATCCGGCTTGCCTGCTCCCTCCCCATGCTCCCATCTGTGCTGCCACTTCATCCTACGACTGTCTTTTTTCCTTTTTCCTTCCTATCTAATCATCCCCCCTGATTTTAATGGGGTGGGCTGGGTCTTATTTTGTTTCAATCAAATCAAGCCACGTACGTGGGAGCACGGATTGGCGCACGCGCGGGGAGCAGGCATGTCTCGTCCGGGGGGCAAGTACGTTGTATGTTGCAAATCATATCGCTAATGATAGCTGCCTACAGTGCTCGCTCAGTCGTTAGGGGGGTCAGGCCCCTGCTCGCCCCCTCCCTCCCTGGCTCCGCCACTGCTCGCGTGAGCTCCCGCAGTTCGTTCCACTCCCGTGGGCACACGGTGACGAAGCACCGGATCGACCATCGCCGACACTTTCGAGAATGAGCCACCAAGGAACAGTTCCAGCTCTTGGACCCTTCCTGCTCCACTAAATCTAAACTCATCCTGCTCCTCTAACCTGAACTTCAGTCGTACCTTGCAAGTAAGGGAGAAAATCGTTGAGGCAGTGGAGTAATTGGTTATCCTAGTGCCTTCTATGCCTATATCAAATTAAAATTCTTGTTCGAAGAGACACAACACATCATGCACCAAATGGCATTGGATAATTCCAAAACAGTGAAGTAAAATGAGAAATAAGGTGCTATTTATCTTTGACTCAGTGAAGTCTTGTTTTTTATAATAGGCTTGGGTGGTAGGCGTCGACTTGAATTGGTTTGTCCTCTGTTAGTTCAATTGCTAAGAATCTCTTAGTTATGAGCTTATTCAGTCCATTGGTAGGCCTACAATTGTGAGAGCTTTATTGATCCTCTATATAAACAGTAAATTCTGATCTCTGTATCAAAATAATGTGTCAAACCTGTGCACAGTTTGTTGTAACGGAGTTGAACAATGGAGTTTATTATCAGAGTAGGAGTAAAGTAACCATCCATGAACTTCTACTGGTTAAGTGCTAATTATCGGGTTAAACAAGATGAGAAAAGCACAAAAATATCGGTCATCATGTACTAATATCAAGCTTATACTTTGATGATCCCCGCTTC